AGAAAACCGCTTTTGGAAAACCCAGAGGTTTGTCGTCTGAAGTCAAGGAAGAGCTGGTGACCTTCTTTGGGATTAACTGGTTGACCAGGGCGGTGTGAATTTCAGCTGAAAGGCACAGCGGAGAAAGGAGCTTTCCTTCTTCTTCGTAGCTGTTATCCAGGAAGGCATCGCTTTCGTCGCTGCTCGATAACTCTTCCCATTCTTCGTCTGAGGCATCTGGAAATAAAAGCCCAGGCGTCAACACCCCAAAGGAAGTGCAACAACCTTTTTTTTGTATGCCGCCATCTTGAATTCCTCAGATGCCAACCTCTCAACCAAATACCAGTTCTTTGGTTGCCGTGCTACAAAGGTTATAGATGCAACCATTATGAAAAAACCTTCTTTTGATGTGGATGGTTGCGATAAGCATGAAGGTGTAAGCCAAAACCATTTGGGCAGCATTCACACAATGCATGATCTGCTACCCAACAGACTGGGTTCACACAACATGCAAAGACCCAAGAGCTTCACCACAATTCAACTGACCTAGCTTTACATCATCATCTTCTTCATTTAATGACCCCATAATCCCTTGCGGGATGGAGTCTGGCCAACTAAATGGAACTAGCAGTGTTTTAATGTCCGGATGCCCTTCCTATTGCCAATGTGGAGTTTTGTTCAGCAGATATATTCTCAGTATGACCAGAGAGACAAATATCTGCCTCTACCTAGGATCAAACTCACAGGTTCCTGATTGTGAGGCGAGAGCTCCACTACCTCTAGGCCACTGTACCACTCCAACTGATCCAGCTTTACAGGTGTGTATAGAAATTAGTTCACACAACATGCAAAGACCCAAGAGCTTCACCACAATTCAACTGATCCAGTTTTACAAGTGTGTATACACTTAGTAGGGCTTTAACGATTCCACTGGGCCTTTAACCAAGATCAAAAGTTTCTGGTGGCCATCCGTGGCATTTCCATTCAGAGTAGAGTAGAGTAGAGTAGAGTAGAGTAGAGTAGAGTAGAGTAGAGTAGAGTAGAATAGAGAGTAGAATGGAATAGAATATAATGGAATGGAATGGAACAGAACAGAATTGAATTCTTTTATTGGCCAAATGTGATTGGACACACAAGGAATTTGTCTTGGTGCAAATGCTCTCAGTGTACATACAAGAAAAGATACATTCGTCAAGAGTCAGGAATCATAAGGTACGACACTTAATGATAGTCGTAGGGTACAATAAGCAATCAAATGACACTAGGAAACAGTCAATATAAATCGTAAGGATACAGTGGAGTAAGACTTTATGTCTTACTCCACTGCCACAGTCCGTGGATTTGGGGTGTGGAACAAAAACTGTGATATAAATAACCTCCTTAAGTACCATGTATTAAAACAGCTGACCAAGTTGAGGAAAACCACATTTGTTTTATTTATTGACTGATCCAACTTCTACTGCCCGCTTCACCTAAGTGCCCAGCTTACTTCACCCGAGCCACAGATATACCTTCGTTGCAGCACATGTTGACAATGATTTCCAGGGCGGTTTGTTGAGCCAGAAGTAACCCACTCGCCTGCTTCAACTCCTGTTGGCTGCGCTGGGAAGCAAAGAATGAAGAGAAGAGCAACAAAGAGGATTGGGGATTGGAGGCTAAAACATAAAAAAAAATGGTTGCTGGAACAGGCTACGTCTAGTCTAGTGAAAAGAAGGACTAGGGGAGACATGATAGCAGTGTTCCAATATCTAAGGGGCATCCCCAAAGAAGAAGGAGTCAAGTTATTCTCCAAAGCACCTGAGGGCAGGATAAGAAGCAATGGGTGGAAATTAATCAAGGAGAGAAGTAACCTAGAGCTAAAGAGAAATTTTCTGACAGTTAGAACAATTAATCAGTGGAATAATTTGCCTCCAGATAGCTGGAGTTTTGTAGCTGAAACAAAATACTTTCTCCTGGGAACCAAGGACATTCCCACAGGTGGTCGGAGAGAGGAGGAGCGAAGTTACCAGGCAACTGGACAGTACCTAACTGGACCATGTGACGGATTATTTGGGGAAAGGAGAAAACTGTTACCTTTAATTAGGTGAAAACCGCGGGAACATTCACCAGCTTGTGCCAATATGATATATGACAACCAATAAAACTATTCTTTGAGGAATCTACCTGCTTTGGAGTTTCATTCGCTATGGGTGCATTACTTGGAACACTGACATTTTGTCTTATCCTCATAAATCAACCCCCGTTGCTCCATTTTGAAAGAACGGATCAGCCTCTTACTGGCAGTAGATCCAACAGGTCCTTCTCTCCTTGGGCGATCCGTCCAGGTTCTTCTTCCATGCTATCCTCGCCTACGTGCACGACGCTTCCTCCGTTCACTCTGTTTCCTTCAACAGAAGTCTTCAACCTTTCCGTTTCGGCTTCCTTCATCCGAACGACCACCTCTCCGGCATCCAACGCCAGACAGTCTGACAAAATCTTCAGGATGGCGTTGATGGTTCCCGCCTGGCTTCCCGAAGGCACGGTGCTCTTGATGTTCCACGCTACACCTGAAGCCACGAAAAGGATACGGTAGAGATCAGCTTAGCCAAATCTGATCAGTACAGCCTCTCTTGCACACGAGAGAAAGGGACCACTCCAAACTGCAACCGCAAGAGGATCCTTCACTGTCTTACTTTCTGGAAAATTGTAACACAACTGGCAGTTTAATGCAGGGACGCGGCCTTTGATTTCAAGAAAAGTGCCTTCCATTTCCCTGACTACACAAGTTGACAGTCTACTAGCCAACTTACCAGAACTAAACTAAGTAATTGGCATACTCAACAACTGACAGGCTGAATATTGACCAGGTTCACATGTTGCACCAAGCCAGGATTTGCTAAACAAGCCATCATGGTCGGAAAAGAAAGGCAAAAAATAAAACCTGTTCCGAACAGGCCGTTCTCTACTTTTAGATGGACTCAAACATCAAAGAAACCAATAAGAAATAAAAGTGCGTCCGTTAAGCTGTAATGGGTTGGTTCATAAATGGTGAGCTATCTCATGCCAACATCTCATTAAACCAGAAAGGAAGTCCTCACATCATAACTTCCTGAGATATCTGCACCCAACTTCTGATTGGCAGCTTGGACAGGATCTTTCTTCAAAGCCATGCAAGGAATTCCCACAAACCAACCATGGAGTTGTGTCTTTTTTCCCTACATTGTGGCGCATCGTCGCCAAAGCGCAGGGGCAGGCAACTATGACAACTTCACAACCTCTGGACTTTAACTCCCAGAATTCCTGAGCCTGTCATATTGAGTATTTACCTGCCACCAATGTCCGTAAAAGGATATGGTCCATATCTTTCTCCGAGGATAACATGACCATTTCTAGCACCTGGTGCACAGGTGCATCGAAAGACGATAGCAGATCTGGGTTATCTTCTGTCACGGTTTGTAAACAGGATGCTGTACGGGCAGAGAACACGTTTAAATCTAGGCCACAAATCCGAGTTGGAAAGTCATAAATCAACTTCTGTCTATATCTCTGTAGAGATTCTCAGTCCTCCAGGTCATGGTTGTTCCAAAGGTGCTTTTTTCTGGAGACAACTGGACTTTCTTTGGTTTTTCCTTTGAAGACCTTTCGCTTCTCACCCAAGAAGCTTCTTCCGCTCTGACAGGATACAATTTGGGATTGAACACCTTCTGAGTCGTGTGGGAGTAAGAATAGATTTACAGGAAAAACAACTGCAGACTACAAGAATCATTTGCACTACTCAGGTGACCCTGAGGACACAGACAAACCTCCAAGTTGCCTCAACGACCCTCTAAAAGGATGCAAATGACCAGCTGTCTGCAAGGAATATCAATCCTTCCACTCTCCACCATCCTGTCAGGGCTGAAGAAGCTTCTTGGATGAGAAGCGAAACATCTTCAAAGAGAAAAAAAACAAGAAAGTCCAGTTGCCTCCAGAAAAAAGCATCTTTGGGATATCCTTTTTTGTTTCAGAAAAGTATGACCAACAGCTTTAAACTGTTTTTAGTTTACTTTCACTAATGCCCACGTCCATCCTAAGAGTGAAAAATAGTCATTAGTTAACTTTTTTGGTGCTGTTGTAATTTTGGTCACTAAATGAACTATTGTAAGTCCAAGACTACCTGTATTATATAAAACTTTTTTTATATAATTCTCAATATAATTTCCTTTAAATTAATATCATTCTACCATGTGCCACTTTATTTTTTTTCCTAGAGAAAAAGATGAAAAGCAGGATTCGAGTCAATGAAAAACAATTAAATCATCAGAAGGCAACAGGTTTTTTTCCCACTCCTGCTTCGAACTAGAAGCTAAAAATCATAAGACTATGTCGGATTCACTCAATCATGCTTGCAAATTTATCGGAGAAGGAAAAGATGCTGGGAATGGTTAGAGGAAGAAGAAGAAAGGGCAAGCAAAGAACAGGCTGGCTTGATAATATGAAATCTGGTGTCAACTCATAAAATGTTTCTATGGTCTTTTCAGAGTTGCCAACAGAAAGGGAGGGAGAAAGGGGTTTGAAAGAGCAGTGCGGCAGCTTGGAAACCAAAAGTGTATTCCATAAATAGTTTTTCAAAGATAATAACTAGGTGACTGAAGTTTCTGCCAAGCAAATATCTGAGAGCATGATTGATGACTCTTGGCTATGGATGTGTCTCATTGGAAAATATGAATTATGGTACACCCAGGGGATAGGGGGGGAAACCAGGGTCAAGGGTGACAATGAACTGTGTGTCTCAGAGTTGGCTGCACCCAGGCAGTGCCGGACATGTTAACTCCCAATAAATCCTTTTGAAGTTTTGGAAGTTTGGCTCAAGACTCATGATTTAACTGGGGTTACTGCCGGAATCCTGACGTCTGGTAACAAAGTTGAACATCCAGCAATGGAAAGGAGCTGTGTTGGACAAGGTAGCGCGGAGAGCATCTTGCCTATAAAGTCACCAAAAGAGTTGAACATGACTCAACAAACAGCTTCAAAGTACCAATAGCCCCTTCTCTTGGTAAATTATACAAACAGCCTCGTGCCAGCAGGAAAAAACTATAACAAGCCCCTCCAAGCAAAAGGAAAATATCCACCCTTCCTTACCCACGGTGATAGCCAGGTCAACATTTGTATGAAATCTCTTCAGATATTGTAGAACAACATCTAAGCATCCTTCCTTGTTGAATATTGATACGGCTGTAGGGTTGCATTCACTGACAAGAGACATGAAGGAAGATTTAGTCGGCCCATCTCCTAACAGTCCATTGCTTTAAAAGCAAAGATGGCAATCTTCAGTTTTAGAATTGATTGAGCACCGTTCCAAAACGACCCCAAAGAACTGATTTGGAATCCAGATGAGGATAGCAGACCTCTTTGATATTCACGAAGGGAGGCATGGCAGGGGTTTTCCCCGCTGTTCCCCAGGCGTCTATTCAAGTCTGAAAGAAGATGCAGCTGCTTTAATGAGGTCACGCTTCTTAATGCAACCACATCACTTTTCAGTCTTGAACCTTTTTTCCCCTGGGGATGTGGGGAGGGTCACACTTCCTTCTTCCAAACAATGTTTGAAAAATCCACAGCCCCAGCATTAAGTTTCCAATCGAAACTAACTCAACATTTTACACAGTAACAACAGGACACAAAAAAATTAGCTTCTCCCAACTGGGATCCACTCATCCTTCCCTAACACACCCGTTTAGTGACATGTGCAACGTTAAAGGTAAAGGTTCCGCTCGCACATACGTGCTAATCGTTTCCAGCTCTAGGGGGCGGTATTCCTCCCCTGAAAAAAAAAAGCCTGAAGAGCCAGCGCCATCCGAAGACGTCTCCGTGGCCCTCTGGCTGGCATGAGTAAACGCCGAAGGCGCATGGAATGCTGTTCCCTTCCCACCAAAGGTGGTCCCTATTTTTCTACTTGCATTTTTTACATGCTTTCGAACTGCTAGGTTGGCAGAAGCTGGGATAAGTAA